CCCCAAAACCCCAAAACCCCAAAACCCCAAAACCCCTATGTGTCGAATTCAATTTAAAATTTTAAAATGGAATTCAATGATGAAAACTCTGGGATTGCTTTAAACCTTCCACAGAGGAAGACGAAGTTAAAGAAGCCAACAGAAAGGAAAAAATGGAATAAAGTATCTCCCTCTAAGCTCCAAACCCAAAAATGCCCTAAAAAATTATCAAAAAATTCAAAATTTTCAAACCCTTCAAAAACTCCTAAAACTAACTCAAACCTCAAAATCTCAACGTAAAACCCTCAAATAACCCTATTTCAGCCTCTATAAACCCACAAAAGCCTTCCTTCACAAATTAAAACTGCAAAAAACCCAAAGACACCTAAAATCACCTCCAAAGCCTCTAAAATCCCTTTCAAACCCTAATTCACCCCCTAAAATCCCAAAAAAGAACGGTAATCCCCATCCCTATCCTCCCAAATCAGTCCATAACCTATCTAAAAGTACTCTTTCAGCTATTTTTCCCCATTATTTTCACTCCAAATTTGAAATCTGATTGGTCTTCACAAGATTTTATCACTGTTTAAGATCGTTGAAGGGATATTTAGTAAAAATGATATTGGTTAGGTTACTGTAGAGAGCTTTAGTAGTATTTAATTCCACAGAAAAGTCTAGAAGAGGATTGAGAGTAGTTTACAAAATTACCACCTATGCAGCACAAATCTAAAGGTCTGGAGTGATCAACTTCAAGTCTTTGATGCTTGGTTGGCAACTTCTGTTCCATACCTCATTGCAGAGATGCAGTTAAATAATCAGCCAAGTTTTGAATTCTTTGATTGACTGATCTTTACAGTGATGCTGTCATTTAATGTGGTAAAATTCACCATGGTGGATTTCTTAATATCGCTTTTAATAATTATGCTTTCGATGGTTTTAACTGTATAGTCGGTAAAGGCCCTGATCAGACTAAGTCAACTTGTATGGAGTAGATAGAGACTAGGCTGAGATTTAAAGGAAGTTTGGAGTATATTTTTGTGTGTTTGAGCTTGAGCCTAATGAATATCCTCAAAATTTCAACTTTTTACAGTTTGGCTTTTAGACTAACTTCAATTTAGAGAATTTGGGTATTAAAAAGCTGGCTTTTGAAAATAAACCTGAACTTCAAAGCCCTCAAGAGGAACTTCAGGACTATTGTGAGCTTGTATCAGGTAAGTTCTTTGGTCAGATGTATACAAAGCCACCTCTAATTTCAAAATTCCAATTCTGCTTGGGTTTAAAATGTTACACCTGGTAGTTTTACTACTATTAAAGATCGCTCACTTAAAGCTTAGCATATCATGACTTTCTCTTTGCTTATTCCAAAGCTGCAGGCTCTATTCATACATCATCTTGATAGCTATGGCTTCTTTGGGTTCTTAAGGGCATTTATAAATCCTGAAAACTTCTGTTTATCAAGCCAGACTTCTATTATTAACCCTAGCATTGACTGCTTGCATCTAGCTCAAACCCTAAATATAGACAGTGATTCATGATCAGTCCCGGTTGTTTCAGCCACGGCGAGCTTCAAGAGCAGCTGCAGCGGCAGCAATGACTTGCCAGTGACTGTTCCTGCTGGAGATAATTTTGTCGATACCAGATTGAAAGAGATTCAACAAGAAAAGCAGACTCTTAAGGTAAAATATTTTGAAAATTCTGAAATTTTTCAATTGGGTTTCTGGTGGCAGAATTTGATGACAGAAAAGTGAGCAGTATGAGGGACGGTAGCGAGAACTTTAGGTAGATTTTGGGATATGTATTTGGGCTCTTGGTTGCAGTCCTTTGAATTATATGCTCTTTAATTGCTTCAGGATTTCTGTTACTTCAAAATTTTACAAATTTTATTTTAAACATAATACTTTTGTAGAATGAACACGATCAAGCAATGGCAGCTTTAAATAAAAGTATATGTAAACTCCAGATAGAGAACACAAGGTTGAAGACAGAAATGTCAAAAACAAATGCTAAAATCAAGGAAGCTGACCAAAATGAACATTACCTCGACCTAGAAATCTGCACTCTCAAGTCCAAACACTGCTCTCTCATTTCCAAACTCTCCTCTCTCAAGGTACGCTCCTCTTCTTCCTATAGACCCGTAAAACCTTCCAAGCCAGCTACACTAATATTCAACTGAGCATTGAGAAAATGGAGGCTATTAAGGAAGCTAATAGGCTAAAAATTGGGTTTTAGTCAGTGTATGTGTTGGAAAATTCAATGCCAGATAGGTTATAAGGGGTTTTGGGGTTTTGGGGTTTTGGGGTTTTGGGG